TCCCCTTTAAATCGTGATTCATGCTCGTTGCAAGCAGTAACATTGTTAATGTCGGCTAAACTTGTTAATTTGGGTTCATACACGGGATTGCAAGTGGTGATGGTATCCAGTTGAAGGCTGAGACAGTCTCCAAAATATTCATACAGTTCGGTGTACCATTCCAGGACGCTTTTTTTCACGTGTCTCAGTTTGTAACCATCTGATTGAGACAAAGAACCGGCGCTTTCACCGAGATGAAGGAGATGACTAGCTGTACCAAATGTGAATTCTGTTGGTTCCTGAGCCGGACTCTGACTTGGTGAACTGCTAGCACTGTGCTGTTTAGTACTCAGCTGTTCTTTTTGTTTATACTTCAGCATCTTGTTGGCAGCAAGCTGAAAAATTGAATCATATAAAAATAGATTTCAATCTATTGGGTACTCCACTGGGCATATTGTAAACCAAACCTCTCATTAAAATAGTGAATTCAACAACTTTTTTCATTTTTTTTTTCAAGTCTCTTTCAAAATGTTGATCTAAACGGCTCGTTTCACATGTTGAATCCTCAAGTTAGTAAGCTGTGTGTTTACTACAAGCATGTAGCCAGCAATGTAATACTATTACAAATATCAAGGATGGACCTGAAATTCACGTGAGCGATAGATGCACATTGATTATTGCGGTGCCCAATTAACGTCAAACAAGCTTTTTTTTTGTCGTTATTTTACCATGAAACAACATTGAGTGATGTCAATAAAATTAATTCAAATAGATTGTAAAACAAAACACCTTTATTTCCGGAGACTACCATACTACTACTCAGTGGCAATGTTGTCTCTAGAGGGCGCTGTTCTCAAAATTACATTATCTGGTTTTAATGAAAAACATTTCCAATGGTGATGGTTTTCACAATGCTGAAACAAAAAGCATTGCTAGAACATGTCCCTAACAAGTCATTGATAGTACAATAATCAAATGAGAACAACCTGCGAGAATTAAGGATGGCTTTAGTTTCCAATCTGAAAATCTTTTCTTTTCCTAACACTTTAAGCGACAAAGTAAAATTCAGGCACCATCTACAAAATAGTTTGAATTACAGTCTGTTATTTTCCACAAGAAATGTTCCAGAAATTTTGTCAGTTTTGTCCCAAATTTATATTGAATTCAGTGTAAATTAAAAAAAAAATTAGAACAAATTTATCAACTTTGAGTGAGAAAAAAATTTCGCCTTCAAAAAGTTAAAGATCAGTGAACAAAGTGCACAATTGATATAAAAATAAGCTAAATATGGTAGCAACAGTTCTAAAAAATATTTATCGTTAACTTTTGTCACAAACAAGCATACTAAAAATCAAATTCATTAGACATACCAAAATGGCACCATAGACTTTATGTCCATCCGTCTTGACTTGAATATTTGATAGTGATGTATCTTCTAATACAACCATAAGTGTAGGCCAATAACCTGATAATTGGGGCAGTAGTACATCCTCTATAGCCTACAGAGAAATCAAGAGTTCAGTTTGGATTATCAATGCTCTTATACCAGGTGTGAACAAAAACCATCTGTAAACAGCCGAGAAATGCTTGATTTTGATGATTTTTCAGCACAAAAATGGCCACCATTCGGCCATTTTTAATAGGATCGTCAAACCAATATATCTGTATATCTATGACATGATGTATAATGAATATTTAAAATTTGAACATAATCAGTCACAGCAAATCATGGCACTAGAACCACATTTATTAAAACAAAATGGCCGCCAGTCGGTCATTTTGAATCTTACCTGAAAACAAAATGATGTGCATCAAGGTCCCATAATGTCTAATGTATATACCAAGTTTGAACAAAATCCATCCCTAAACAGCCAAGAAATGCTTGATTTTGATGATTTTTAGAACAAAAATGGCCGCCATTCGGCCATCTTGAATCAGATCATGAAACAAATTGATGTGCATATGTATAATATCATGTATGATGTATGTGTGAAGTTTGATTGTGATTGGTTCAGGCATTTCTAAGATACAGGTCCGGACGCACGCACGCACTGAAGCACAGATGTCAAAACATAAGACTGCATCCGAATAGGGACTTGGAATACTGTGTGATGACACTATCTTCAGGGATTAACTGAACCAAAATAATCTGTCAGTCGTCGCTGTCCAGACCAGCAATATGATTTTACATTGCACAGAAAAGAACACTAAATACAGCTATCTTGGCCAGCAATCGATTCATCAATCTTCATGAGTGATGTAATTGGCATTTCCATCTATTTGCCTAGTGGTCTGAAAGTGAATGTTGTCAAGTTCAATAGTGTATGTGTTTTCAAATATAGTAGTGTGAACTATATTGCTACAATCAAAGACGCGTTGAACAGGAAGTCCATTTTGGGCTAGTGACATTGTCAAATTTTGTAGGGAACAGGAAACGTTCCAGTAAGGAATTGTTATGCATATCAAAATCCTTTATTGGAAAAGAACATGTTCTATATTCACCACAAACAACATTGCTATGTTTCTAGGCATACAACGAACTCAAAGCAAAAGAAACAATCCAAGCCAAAAGACCTTCGTCCTTGAAAATCGAGTCTTATCGCCTTAGCGAGCGAAAAAAAGTCATGGCCAAAATTAGAATACCCCCGGTAGGTTATTTATTAGAGACACCAGGGGGAACCAAATTTCAGAATGTGAATTACTCTGGCAATGAAAAATCAGTGATAATAACCAAGGGGTGAGAGACTTTTTACCTCGGCGATAGCTACGGTAATTGCGACCATTATGACAGTGACAACCCCCAAAATGTAAATGAAGACAAATAAACATGTGAAGCATGAACAACTGTTTCAAATCGTAGCATAAAGTGCGGGACTGAACCATTGTTTACCTTTGAAAAGAACAGAAATTACCGTTAAAGTCCTAATATAAACCGCATACGTAATAGTAACCGCACCCCCAATTCCGGCTTCGGGGTTAAAGAGTTCTTAACAAAAATTGAAAACTTGAAAAGTACCTATTACTAACCGCACCCCCAATTCAACAAGACCGTGACTGACTTCATTGTTTCAACCAGCTGTTCCAAAACGGCATTGTTCCTAATCCTATTCTTTGTTTCGACAACATGCCTAAAAATATTCACACCTATTTATTGTTCAGCGGTGATAAGATGTCAGACAGGCAATGAAACTGCTTTTG